CATTTCTGGAAAAAAATACAGCTTGTCAATAAAGCAGGCACGTTCCCGATTTCGCACGAGGCAGCACTCTGCGGGCTGGCACCATCTAAGTGCTAACACTCGCCATAATATACGGCGCAAATACCGCGGTGTGAACAGCGCAGAGCTCATCGCCGGCTCCCGGGGGAAACACCCCAGACGTGGTGAATAGGTTATTCATGTCGGCACACTATTCCGAGGAGACCGGACAGTCTGGAATTGAGGTCGGTGGTTTCCCTCCGCTATCTGTTCTGCCGGGTGATGTTATTGGGCTGCTGTAGTTCCCTGTCCACTACTCAGACCTAACACTCGTAACATCACATACGGATCAGCCAAGCCTCCCTCCCTACTCCCTGAATTACGACACTATTCCCGTAAATCCGTCCAATCCTGTAGCCCTCAACTCCCAAGTCTCAGTGCTGATAGCCTTCCGTTTTCGCATGATTCTCTCCCACCCGTTTAACTCCATTCCCTCCCCATGACCCTTCCCCGCTTCCGTGATTATCTCCCTCTCCCGTGACGCCCTTCCCTCTCCACTCCCCTCTCCCGTGACTACCTTCCCTATCAACTCCCCTCTCCCGTGACTACCTTCCCTCTCCACTCCCTCTCCCGTGACTACCTTCCCTCTCCACTCCCCTCTCCCGTAACTACCTTCCCTCTCCACTCCCTCTCCTGTGACCCCTCCTCTCTCCGATACCCGTCCGCTCACCCGGTGCGCCGTCGGTAGATGTCCCGGCTGACCCTCGACTCGAGGTACTCTCCGATCCTGTCCAACTTTTCCGGAGACAAGTGCACGTAGTTGGTCAGCTTCTTCATGTTCGACTTGACCAGCCCATCCTGCGGAAAACAAAAGTGATATGTCAGCAGAGGACATCAGTGGATTGATTGGAAATGAGCAGTGACGAGGTGTTGAAGGTAGGTGATTAAAAACAAATTTGCTTTGAGCCGTGGTATGTAAACAGTGGGTGATAGGGTTGAGAGGAGGTAGGTAGGTAGAGCTGTGGTGCACACACGTCGTAAAGTTGGAAGGCAGAGTGAAGTTGTAATCAGCTGCAGCTGCAAGCTTTCTGATGCGGGATAATGACAACAGCATGATCAAAATAAATCCAATATCCGCTAAATGTCTTCGTCATTATGGATTTGTCAAATGTAACCGAAATGACATTTAAGGCTTACGAATTTTGACGAACGTCAAGTCAGCCTTGGAAGACGTTATAAAAGCCAAAGCGGATACGCAATGCTGAGAATCGAACATATCCGGCTTTTTAACCGATTTGTTTGGAAGTCTGTTTTGAAGAAAGCTGACATATGTTCAACCATTGGCTTTTAGCGCTGCCGCATCAACCCACACATTCCTCAAAGCTGAACTCATACGAAGTCAGCAGCAGCAGTTCCTCGTCAAACATATAAGCTATCGATCGGTTTTCGGAAGTACGCCTACAACACCTGCACTCTAATCGGTTTACATCCCCACAGTGCACGGAGGAATTCGTGCACAACATGGTCTTCGACGAACCCCTCAGGCGAGGGGTCTGCAACGCCAACACGAGCGTGTCCACTGGTGCTGTCTGGGAGGTGAGGACGAATGTAAGCGTGGACGACGAGAGAGGGACTGGGACGGTGTCTGGTGACTGGTGACAGCGGTGGTGAATCACCGTCACCACCACCGGGGATAGAGGGGAACTTCCACTCGGGCGGATTCCGCCGGATTTTTCCAGCGAACTGATTCAATCAGGCAGGTTTAGCACGAGCGCCGCCAGGCGCTCACTGCGGGACGGCTGGTGCGATGACTCATCGGTTCGTTCTATCACCACTATACCGGTGCCCTCTAGCCCGGACCCAGCAAAGACCCCTACCACTGCTCCCCCGTCGGGATGCACCTGGTGCCGCCCTTGGCAGGCAGGTTTGCTCACCCGTGCCCCGTCTGCATAGGCAGCGGCTCGCCGGCGGTCGCCGCAGATCGTCTCCGACCGCGCGGCGGGTGTGTTGTCTGTGTCGAGAGTCTCCTCACTTTGTGTCGCTGAGCTGCGAGTCCTACCGCCGTGCGGAGGTGACTGATATACCTGTGACGGTGAGATATAACCTGTGCGAGATGTTTGTCAGGGACGCCGTGATGCAGTCCTGGCTCGGTGTCACACTGCTGGCGGTGGGATCTCTCGCCGTGAGGGAACCTCTCCGAGTCGACAACAGACTACCGGCGAGAAGTGCCGACCTCGTCTCAGCGCCGGCCTCCATGTCAGTCACGACGACGGGGCCTCCAACTGTGGAGGCCACCAAACGACTGCTGACCACTAACCCCGGCATGCATCGGCTCAACGAGAAGGTGATGGGTCAGGTATTCACCGGCTTGGAGAACGAGGTCGTGTGCACGTTCTGTCTCCTGCAGGTCCTCTCACTCGCATATCAACTGGGAAACAGGACCGTGCGCACTGAGGTTGAGGTGGGTCTCGAGTCGACCCAGCCCGACGATCTGGCCGTGGCGCTGCTGTGGGCGGCCAGTGCTGAGAACCAGACCCTGACGGGCACTCTCCTGGGGTACTACCAGCGCGACGAGCCGCCGACCTGCGACCAGCCGGCGCCGGCAGTTCGCTCTCCTGCCCGCTCCCCGGCCCGCTCTCCGCCGCAGGACCCCGAGAGGTGTCGGAGAATCCAGGAGTTTGTGGCAGACAGCGGCCGCCCGGTGGATTTCAAACAGCCGTCCACCACGGATCAGATCAACGCCGAGGTGTCACGCGCCACCGGCGGACGGATCGAGGAGCTGTTCACTCCGCTACCCTCCGACACGCGGCTCGTGTTCGTCTCCGCGCTGGTGTTCGCCGACCACTGGCGCTCTCGAATGGTGACGGCTCGTGGTCTTTTCCACGGCGCAAAGAGGGATGTGCAAACCGAGCTCCTACTGCTGCGAGAGGACCTGCCGATCCTGGACGGCACCGCGGACGGCGTCATCGGCGTGTCGCTGCCGTACGAGCAGCCGGGGGTGCGCATGTTCGTCTTCACCACGGTGGACGGCAGCGACGTGCGTCGCAGGCTCAGCCAGCAGCATTACGAGCGTCTGGCCGCCGTGAAGCAGCTCACCTATACACGCGTCACCATGCCCAGCTTCGATATCGCCTCCAAGAAACGCTCCTACATCGACCTCGTCTCCGAGATGGGCATGGGCACCATGTTCGCTGGAGGCATGGGCGCCGACGATCAGCTCAGGTGGCGAAGCTGGAGCACAAGGCGGTTATCAAGACGGATCGAGACGGCACGCAGGGCCGGAGCGGCCGGCGTGGCCGTCGTGCCGCTGAGTGCTAAGCCGCAGCCGTTCCAGGCGCGGTTCGACCGTCCGTTCGTCTGCTCGCTGGTGCACACGGAGCTCGGAGTGCCCATCTTTACCGCCTACGTGGCCGACCCGCTGCTCAAGTAGAGAGCGGCAGTCGGGGAAGCTAGGAAAGGTCCGAGAGAGGAGGGAGTATTTAGACGCGTGCATGTCTCATAGAAAAGACACATCGCGCACGGTGAGCGCTATAGGTACCGATGCACGAGGGCATTGCAAATGTGATCCACCTAACTAGCGGTGAGGATAATGCGAGCTAGGCTGTTGTCTCTAGAAGTGATGTGCGAACTAAGTCGTGAGCGAGCGCCCCGCAGCATTCATCCAATGGGCAGCGTATGAGCTGCGTCAGCGACGCTCTCGACAGACTGAGAACGAATAGACCACACCAAATCAGACTGAAAGCCGAAGAACGGCGGTGCAACGAACACTAAGCGAGCTGTATTTTATTGTGATCGACCGAATGTGTTATATGGAAATACATGAGAGCTTTACAAATCGGACCTTGGTAATGTGCTTGGTAACATTAGATGTTGGTGCGTTTATGCGTTTAAGACACGAGAAGCACGCGAGACTGGGAAGGCATTAGAAACGGGCTTGCAGTGCATAAAAATGAAAAGCTTATTGTGACTTCCAGAACCGCGAAAGATCATCTGTTTCATGCTCATTATCGTCGGCAAGCAAATATAAATCATCTTCTTTTAAATGACGTAGTAACGTCGCATGAAAATCGTTGACATTTATTTCTGCTTCTGGACAAATTCGTGGTAGCAGCCACGATTACATACATAAACTGGCTGGTATTATTCCATAAGCTTTTAACAACGCAATCATCTAACATTAAACAATGACTTCTAATTTCATAGCTGGCAAATTGAGGTCCCGGACGTCACGTTCGGGCCTTTATTTTTAAACACGGGCTATAGTTATAACTTATACCCACAAGCTGATTAAGACCAGACCATGACCCCGTACCCTTCGGCATGTGATTATTTGGGACAGAGTGACGTCATCTCCAAAAGTCTTTGCGCTAACGACGAGACTAATTGAGGAAAAGGGCGCCGTAAAATACTCGCTCTATCATCACTTAAATAACACGCACTAGCATGGATTTATGTTAACAGGTTTGCCTACCGGGTCACCATTATAACTTGTTCATATCACAGGTAAATGAAGACATAAAACTAATAAAACATGTTCTAAATAGTGTAAGACTTCTCAAAACAGGTTCCTACGACAATAACGAACATAACCAGTAATCATCACCCGTGAACAAGCCGTTGAAATGCGCATTAAATCACACCCCGAGTGCAAGTCTCCACACAACATTACGTCCACGCCTGTATCCCCTTATCCTCGGACCTGCGTGATAACACCACGGGTCACACGAAGGCAGAGGAGGTCACCGGACGCCCTTGTCCGGGTAGCTCAACGGGACAGCACAGGGAGCTGCAAACTCTCCGCTGACCGGACTCTACTAATTAGCGACCTCCACAGAAACCTGCCGCAGGCGGAGGTGTCTTCTTTCCGATGCGGATCCCAGGATACAGGCAGACCGGTCAGAGTTATCGGTGGGGTAAGATGGCGAGTCCCCTACGGTAAGCATTGCAAGGAGAACGAAAGGACCACAAATACCTACACAAACACACCTAGCACACATACCTACAGACATACATACAGGCCGAGCGGTGGACAATAGCCAGCCCGGACAATGCTAATTGTCCAGCTTCGCCGCAGTACAGGCGTGACGTTACAGTGACGTAATTATGACATCATCGTGACGTCAGTATGACATGAAAGTAGGTGCCGGGCGGCGCGGGGACCGGCTAGGGCGCCTGCAGATGGGATGACCGTGAGCTTTGCACGGTGATACACAAACACGGGCACGTGAATAGGAGATGACGACAGAGCTGCATACGTTCCACGTAGAGATTGTGAATTTGCATCGGACGCGAGACCCGGCAGAGTAACAGACTGTCAATGAGATGCTGTCATGCTAGGCACGGATCAGTGTGTCCACAAATAAGGCAATAGGAATTACCGGACCGAAAGATCGAAGGTAGCTGGGCTTAGAGACCAGCGAGATCTAGGATCAGACACCAGTCACGGGATCACGAGAGCAGTGAATGCCTAACAAGGGTTACGCGAGAGAAAAGCGAATCAATATGGGGAAGAAATATTCAAGCTATTATTCAAATTTGCAGATTTTGTGGAAGCATACGAAATATTCATTGTTCATAAACGATATCTATTTATCTAATTTATACACACTTCGACTTGGAAAGCCTACTGTCGCCGCCCATAAGTCCACCCTGTGCCAAGCCAAGAGCCGGGTACCGGGGCCCTCGTCTGCAGAGAGCTTAGACCTTCGCCGAACACCGTGCGCGGATAGCTGCAGTAAACTCCCCGAAATCCGCCCACCACAGACGGCCGGCCGGCCGGCAATCCCATTCCGCACCGATTCAGCCCGCCCCATTCACGCCACCCGAGCTGCTCGAAACTCGGGATGACCGAGTTTAATCATTCGAGCACACGCCAGTCGCTCAAGTTTCGTCATTCAGTCAAGTCAGGAGGCTGAAGGCGAGCTGCAAATGGTAGTGGAGGCAGCCGAGCGCGAATCAACGAGAGCCCTCTATCACGCGTAGCTGGAAACGAATAAAACTGGAGATCGATGCGTCGCATCACGTAATTTAATTCTACGTTGTTCAGCAAGCGGAGTATAGAGTAATCCAGTTCATATTGCGATCCATGCCTACAAAGTTACGCCAGTGTGGGATGCGCAAAAAGGAGACATTGCGAAAAACGCTCACAGTCCACAGGGCAGTAGTTTGGTCCACGTTAGTTAACAAACTCTCCATAATTAATGAACTTCTCCGGGTGGGCACTGCCACCATCGCTCCCGAAATTGAGTTGACCAAGTTCTTGTCGTCGCCGGACCCCATGATACCTCTTTGAACCCTTCACACTGCTGTGTTACAAATTCAGAAAACTGGCAGCCATTAGCAAACAGGCCACCAGCAGGAGAATGAGTAACTCGTACAGCTGGGCCACTACTTAGGCGTCTGCGCAATTTCGTTTTCGAGAAATTAGCTAAGTCTGCTCTGACAGTCTGACGGAGTTCGGTGAGCTTGGAAACCAGGCAACAATCCATCGGCGCGACCATGCGGTATACGGAAAGAGAACACAAAACAATAGGTTTTGGCAACGAGTACCGTTTGACTGCCATAGCGATAAGCAATTACAATACAAAATACGCTTATTGTTTTTGTTTAGGTGTGACCACTTCAAAAGAAAGTTGCATACATCAATGAGATCCAAACAAACGATAATCGGAAAAGCTCCTCGAATTGGGACCTATTTGTTCGTATAATCTCAGCTGTCGACTTGGTAAGACCGAAACCGAACAAGACCTTCCAAAAAAGAGGCGGTTGGCACGGGCCTTACCAACAAGCTAACGGTGGCTGACGAATGTAGCGGTGTGGCGTGTTCCTGATGGCGTGACTCAGACTGTTTTGGCCAGCCATGTCGCTCATCGCTGTCACTAGTCGGTGAAAACAGACTCGTGGCATATGAATAGGCACATTCCATCAGGCATAGAAATTAAACATTCACAGATCAAGCAGGTGACCAAAGACGGCTACCCAATCCGAAGAAATAAACTAATACATATAAACAGTACGCATATTCGTACATACGCATACACTTCACATAAAAGTGAAGACATACACTGAAATATGAGCATTGAGCATGAAATATAGTGAAAAAAGTCGGATAAATCGGGTTTCGGGGCGCAGTAGCGCGGCGCCTGCCCAGTGCCCACCCTTGGCTCAGCTACAGCATATTAGCAAAGCGTGCGGTGTGCATTCATCTTGGTGTGTCCGACGTCTAACATGCAGTCTCTATAGAGTACTGACGTTCAGTAATTCCCACATGCACGTCCCACTGAGCTGGCGGTATGCCTCATTTTCTCATATGAATGTCTCAGTGTTCTGCAGGTAAGTCTCAGTGACTTGAGGCCGAGAGATGTCTTACTGTATGTCTCACTGACCTGTGGCCAGGTCTCGCTACCATGAGGCATGAGAGAATGCCTCAGTGCCCGGCAGGTAATGTCCAATGACCTGCTGATATGTCTCCCTGTTTCACTGAACTGCGGGTATGTCTCAGTGCCTCATTTTGTCTCAGTGACCTGCGGGTATGTCTCAGTGCCTCACTTTGTCTCACTGACCTGCGGGTTGACGGGGTAGATGTTGTCCACCAGTCGCTTCCATCTCGGTCGGAGAGCAGAGCACAGGCCGCAGCAGCCTGCAGCAGAGACACCGCGTCAGAGTCCGTGTCAGCGTTAAGGCTGAAACAGACTCTTTCCGCATTCAGGAAATCACTTGCGAGAGCCTATTCAAATACATTGTAATTCTTCTCGCATCAATCGCATGCGGGAGGTGCGTGCGATTGGTGCGAGCGAGCTTCCATGTGTTTGAATAGGCTCTCGCAAGCGGTTTCCTGACTGCGGAAAGAGTCTGTTTCAGGCTTTAGATGCACCGTGCCATTGATGCGTCAATTTGTAAGACAACCCACGTTGTCAGTGTCAACGGCGCAGTATCTGTAACACCGTGCTACTAAGGGAATAGCGCATACTAAATATTACAAGCAGCCATCGCATGCAGCTGCTAGTCACTCCATAGAGAGAGTGCGAGCTAGGTATTCGCTGACTGTACGCCGGGGGGGGGGGGGCATATTATATTTCATATACCACTCAGTATACTACATCGCAGAAACAATATCCATGCATCAACAAACTTCAGTATACTCGCGGTCGCGGTGCGATAATATAGAAAACAGTCCCAGTTTTACAGTCTTCCGTTACAGAGACCGCAGTTCCGGACGCCCGGCCACATCGCAGGATCTTCTAGTCGCGGAAGCGACAAGGCATCTTTGCCATTAGCTGTTCCGAGAAACGATTAGCTCAGAGGTGGCCTCGTAATGCATTTTCGCACATCCGGTGATACATAACTTGTGTTATAGGAAAGCTTGGTTGCCGGAAAGAAAATGTATCAAACATGGCCGCTTGGCATAACATCAAGTATTCAGCAGCCACGGCACCATTTAACGATATATGCCAAAGATGATGATTTCTTATTGCTATAGGCATCACTGGGACAGACCTCTTAACACCACTGATCAAAAGCACGCGACAGTCGGCCTCGAGCAAAGTATAATGATTTAGAAAATGTAATAAATTTCCTTGATCGTAAACAATAAATGGAGAAAAGCCTACGAGTATACCTAATCAAAATCAGCCGAGCAGATCAAATATTTAAGGCGTCACCATTAGCAGCCCCAGCCCGGCGTTCCGATGTGAGACGTGGGGAGCCTCCCACGGCTCTGCCGTATCAGAGCAGCACGGCGCGCATCGACACCTCGGCCGGGGCAGGGCCGAAGAATGCCTAATTGCCGCACCACCAGTCCTCCCGGAGATGGCTCCTGTTTGTTACCGGGGAGGGAACGAGAGTCTGTGCAGGACACACGAAGCGGAAACATGCGAGTAATTAAAGGAGCACCGCAACATGGTGACACGGTGACACCGAACCGAAGGCGTGTCGCATAGCGGGAAAAATATCGCCGTTTTCATGGTATGAACCGAGAGATGAGCAATTGGTGAGCTCCGGCTTGTGGGGCTGTGATTTGCATTAGTGATTTGATGGTGTTGCTGTCAAAATATATGCAATCATTATGTGGGAAAACGAGGAAAATTTAAATTATCATTAAGTGTTTACAATTAGCGAGTGAGTATGCGAACGTTACAAGAGATACACCAATTGACGGGCCAATAAAAGCCTCAACAGCTGCTTGGGCATAACAGGCAACAACCTTTTGATACCTTATAATTGTAGTCCAAGACTTGACTTTTACAGTTACATAACATTCAACTTCGTTAAGCACCATAAGTCTAATTAAAACTCGAACGAAAGTAAGAACATCCGAAATGAGCAAAATTAGGCGGAGCACATACTAGGCATCTCGAACTAGCGCAAAAGGTCGGTAGGTGACAACACCACTGCTGCAAAAAAAGAGCGTCTAGTTGGCAACAGCGAGCGATGAGCCACTCCACTCTGGGAAGCTCTCATTGGAGGGCCGGAACATATTGGACAATGGATGACACTGGACGCTGGTTAACGAAGGCTGACGGACGCGTGTCCTCTGGCCCCATCGCTGCTGTCCGCCGTCCATCCCCCGGAAAAGTCCCCGGGCCGCAACAGGCGGACGCTCCCACATCCCCGTGGACAAATGGCCCTCATCCATTCCGCAGAAGTAAGAGTAGATGCTTGCTGCACGTAATAGCCACTCTGCCGGACATGGCCTCGCGGCTGGCTCTGCTTTAGAATTGACGCGGCTGATGAACTACCCTGATGAACTAGCCTGAAAAGATAGTCCCGCACGACACAGAATACAGGTTTGCGAGGCATTTGCGCCGTCAGAAGAATAGTGATAAAAGATGTCTCGTTCTAGGAACCAAGGTAATGAGGACACGCGAGCGCGCAGAAATGATATTTCGAAATGATATTTCTGAGAGACACGAAGCGGCCTCCACTGCCTCCACACAGCAATAGTACCAGTAGACTCGATAAGACCATCCACTCAGACTCAGGGCTTTACACTCGTATCACGACAAATGAACATGATAAATCCAGAAAGGCCCAGCGAGAGGCAGCACACAATAAGTTCAACGAATTTAGAATAGTTGATTCTTTTACATTTTTCTGACACCCGCTTTGCGCTTCAGCCGAAATGTAAGTTAGGCTTCATTTCAAAAGTGAAAAAGGAGGGAAGTTAGGAGAGTCTATATGAAAGCATCTCTCACATTCCCGAATGCAGGCTACAGCTGCGGCCCCCTGAATCGGCCGGTGTATAGCAACATAAGGTTAAATCGTAAGCAGACTTGCAGCATCATTGTCATACGCTGATGCGACCGCTGCAGACTGCGCCTCCTCTGCGTCTTAGTTTCAAACACCGATCATCAAAATATATAGCCACAACTCTAGGGTCGTGCAATTGAGAACGTTACCTTCCATGCTCAAGCATATGTTTTAACGGTGACAAAAGGGCAAGAAACATGCGATGCATGGTCCATGAAGAATAGAAATACAATGGGTCTTACAAAAGCACCATAATGCGAATAAATAGATCAACCCCAAATCAAATCAGTAATGGGATCCAAAGTCCAATCATGCATTTTAGTTCAAATCCAGCTAGCCTTCATTTAAAACAACCAAGAGCCTGCCATCGGATCTGACAAATCAACAAATGGAGATAATCGGAGCGGGTCCATCAAACCAAAGAACGAGGAACAACGACCGTGAAGAGAGGGTACACCAAACAACAAACGACTAACGACTGGCGTGTAGCAAGGCGGTCGTACAATAAGGGTAAGACAACGACCAACGGCCATAGGGTAGAAGCACGATGAGGGCACGAATAGCGACCGGCCAGTCACAGCCCGGTCGACAGCCGGCCAACAATGGGGAAAATCCGTGACTAGCGTCGAGTCCCCGGCTGACAACTGACAGAGCAAGAGGGGCACCGGCCACCCAGGGAGAAAAGCAGCAGCAGGGGCAAAACGACTGCCCAACGCTACACCGAACACACCGGGAGTTCGCCACACGAACAGACATAGATCGAGCAGCTACGGAACAACAACACCAAACACTGGCGGGTGACTGCGTGACAACGGCAGCGGCAGTGGAGGGTCAAAAGGAGGGCAAACCTTGCCCTCCCCCGCCGCCGCTGCCGCCTCCGCCACCGCCGCCGCACCACTACCGCTCACAGGATGGACTGGTGCACTTGTCGGCGGCGGTGCCCAGCGCTTCAGAGAGCTCCGGCAGACCGCACCAGCCGAACATGTTGACGCGAGCGTGCCGACTGGCCGACCCGCCACCCGGCCGCCGACGGAGGCACACCGCATTGATCGGCGACGAGGCGACATCGACCGTGCGCGCGCCACCGCCGCCGCCGACGGTGGGGGTGGAGGTGGTGGGTGGTGGCAGAGAGTGGCTCTGCAACAGGTGTGTGCGGACGACCGGCAGGTCAGCCCGGGTGTCACGGGAGAGGGGAAGGGAGAAAGGGAAAGGGGAAAGGGAAATGAGAGTGAGAGAGCAGGGTAGGTGTCAGAGCGGGCGGCGAGACAGGGAGAGAGCATCAAAACACGGCAATGTGAAGATGCGAGAGGTAAACAGAAAAGATGTGGGAAGGGGACGGAACGAAAGGTCGCGATAATAAAGACAAGAGCTGAACGTGAAGGGAAGAGAGAATTTAGACACATAGTCTCGACCCGGCGTCATTGTGCACGGGGGGGGGGGGGGGATGTGAGTTGAAACGTGCATGAGCTTGACAGGGACGGACCTGTTGGTGGCAGGGGGTTCAGGAGGAGGAGCACACAGCGAACTCATCACGACCGGCCATACCGTGAGGACCTTTACCGGCACCGCACGAAACCGTCAGTCTAGGAAGCGTGGGCGGCATTGGTCTGATGATTGTGGCGTCATAGGAAGAACGACACAGGGAAAACAGCACTGGCAGGGTTCATTTTTGGCGTTAGTCACATCACATTAGTCGCGTGATAACAATCTATCGTCGTAAGCTAAGGACTGGACTAATCATAGCTAGCAGACGCGCAAATGTAGGACAAATGAGACTATCTAGCGCATACCGTGATGGAATTGAAGTGCGCAGAGGATGCGCATTACGCAAGACAATAAAAACTCATTTATCTTCAGTCATAGTCCAGACCACAAAAAGACATCACGTAGAAAAAAAAAATGACGGGAGACATGAATAGTACGATACCATGGCGGGAACAAGGATGCGTCTCGATTTTAAATGCTCCGCGTAACACATTTAACCACCTAAAAATAAGGTGGTATCAATATGGCCAATCAGCATCCTCATATCAAGCAGGATTTCCGCCGAGTCCCTTAGAGCAGGTATCTAAAATGGTCCTTAATTATTCCAATGACGTCATCAAGACAAATGGCGTCACAAAACGTCAATGTTGATCACGTTGTATGTACATCAGCAGTGACGATGTCGTCGGCCGGCGGGCCGCCTGCCTCCCAACTAGAGGTGGCAAAATGTGGAACCGGGGGCCCGGCCCATAGACCCGGTCTGGACTCATATGGATCCAGACCGGTTCCTGAAAATTTTCGGAAGGGTCCAACCGGGTCCTGCCATAAACCACACTTCTCACATACCTCCTAAAAATATGAAGTAATAGAAGGAAAACATTTGGTCATGGTATGTTTTTTTTTTGCGCACTGTAGCTCTAAGTAGGCAGGTATACCCAGTTGGAAAAACGATGTGTTAATTGATGCAACTAATGATTACAAAAAGTTTGAATTTATTGACTTTTGGGGAACGGGTCCAACTGGTTCCGTTCCGATTCTAACTTAGACCGGGTCTGACTGGTTCTAAACATGTCCAGTCGGGTCTGGTTCCAAACATTTCCAACTTTTGCCACCTCTACTCCCAACACGGCGAAAGAAACAAAAACCGTGCTTCTGAGTTCCAAAGCCCCGTACCCTGGGGGTTCGACCAAAGCCGCTCAGGAAAGGTAAGAGGCCCACCTTCCATTGCTGAGGCAGGCAAACTTCCACTCGGATAGCCGCATTCGCCCCCGTGGGTGGGTGTTTCGCCGGACTCACATTATCGAAATTACCTTCCCCACGTCAAAGTTAATGTAATTCGGTTAGAGAGCTTTCCTGTTCGCCGCCTTCGGCCGGTCAATATCGTCTCGGTGGCGGGCAAACACCCACGCTCTGTCAGCGTCCTGGGCCACTCTCACAAAGTGTGAAGCTAGGTCAGTTACGGCCAACAGTCGCCGCCCAGCGCCGGCGCGCAGTTTCGTAACCGAGAGCGACGTACCGGCGCAACAGGTTCCGGCTAGTAGGGAACTCGGAGATCCCTGTATGTCGAGCACGCGCCGGCTGCTGCGAGGCGCGTGATGCCACAGATTCGGAGTATCAGTCTGCATCGCACTACCGACTTCGACGAAAACATCAGAGGTCACCAGCCTGTGCACCGATCGGGAATAGACGCCGCGACTCCGTCCACATCACAGCCGAATCAGCACAGCGCTAACGAAGGACCGGAGACAATGGACCGGCCTTTCCAGTACGATCCGGGCGGGTTTTCCAGTTTGGCCGAGGGCGCGGAGGGCGTCCGCCGGACCTCTCGGCTGTGAACCGTGCCACCGAGACGGCGATAAGACACGACACAGGCAGCCGAGCGAGGAGCCGGCCGATCGCAGAGACTGGACACAATGAGGGGAGGAATGCACCGTCCAGAATACAGGCAATCCGGCATTGTTTGATCTTTGAGCTTTGTGCAGTTACAGGTGCTGTGCTTTGGAGTTCCACTAGCATGTCTGATACATATGCAGTCAAGACGGATGGCGCATGCATTGAAATTAAGAATGGCGCAAAAAAATAGGACATTGATATTTGAAAGCGCAAAGCACCTTGCCTCTATTCCTAAGCGAGTATTTCATCAGGATCAAAAGATCCCAGAATTCACGAGTGAGACGCGAAACAGCCATCAGGAGATACCTACAACTTTTCCGCGAAAGCATTAGCGACCCCGTAACTGACGCCACTTGCCTCACACTGAACACTCAAACCTATCTCACGTGTCACGCACCGCCGACTGGTGCATTATGCATCACCTGCAATCTATTTTACGAATTCCAAAGAGCAAAACATTCCAGAATTCAGGAGTGAGACTGCAAAACAGTCAGCAGCATTCACAATTGCCTGATGTTAGGATAGACATGAGAACTGACGACACATATTGGCTCCTTTTTGACAACTACCTATCAGTTTCCCAGCTGACAGCCCCATTGCTCGGCTCCAAATCCCTCTTCCCAAACGACCCATCCGAAGTTGGTTCACTCGGCTCTGCCTTGTCTGAAAACCACTCGAACGATCGCAGCGACGAGCAAATCGTTCTCTGAAAGCCGACACGCGATCAGAGGCCGGTGTAGTGGCACGACAACCCTACCATGACCGGAGAGCCGTCTGACCAGCCACCTCAGCTGCCTCCTACACACGCCAGGGTACGATAGAACCACCGGGTGGCACCCCCTCGATGACTCGATGCAGAGTAGACAGGCCGGTCAGGAGACGTGGAGAGACAAATAACCGGAAGAACGAACAACAGGCGAACGGACGAAAAGAAATGACAGTGGTTTTTAGCATCAGCACGACATGGGCTTCCAGGAATTCTTGTTACTCAGGCAGTATGACTCAACCGACGGACTGCAGCGATCCAAGACGAATCGTACAAATCGTATAACTGCATAACATGGCGTATAACGCAGGGCTTTGTTGAAGCACAGAATATGCAATCATTCATTTTTAGATGCTGATCAATATCCATACCTACCTACATCATAGTAATCCTTCTTTGGAACCTGAAAGATATGGTGAGCATGGCCGAAAACGAAAATTACACGTCCCAGGGAAACGACACGGCCGATTATCGACGACTGGCGGCGGAGCCTGAACTACTACTTCAGGCAGGGTCTGTGAGAGGTCGCCTCGCTCGGCCACTGCAACCGTGTACTGCTTTCGGCCCAGTTGATTACAAAGGTTGAGGGGAAACAAGCCCTAAAACAGGATATAAATTGCATCTGATGGATCAAGGAATTTAAATTCAGTGAATTCAACCATATAATGAATCTAAGTATGAATCTGAAAAACAAACAATGTGTTTAGGGTTAAAACTAGAGCAGCCCTCACTGGAAGTGTCTCATTTCGGGTTTAAATTACTTAAATATTGCATGTAAAAGCAAAGTATTTGCAGAGCCCATTCACATAGGTTGGCCATCGGCACTAGACTTTCAAAACCTGTCCCGTAGCTCAGTTGGTAGAGCGCTGGACTCCCGGTAGTGAGAGCCCGGGTTCGAGACGCTCCGGCGCTCGAAATTTGAGACTCTTGACGGGGATAGTCTGCGGTTGGTGGGAGTAGCTGCAGTCAGTTGAAGCCAGTTGAGTGGGACAGGTCGTGTCCGGCTTTGAAGGGCACGTTAAACTTTGGCATCTAAATTCTCCACTTACCCGGAATTGCGCACAGTAGGGGTAGGGGTCTACGCAACAAGCTCTGCTTACCGTGGGCTTCGGCTGTCAATCCGTCAATTCCAACATTCGAGTTAAATCTATATAAAAAACAAAAAAACTGCTTGAATTTGGCCAGGCATATGCCCTTATTGCGTAAAGGGCCTTGCATGTATTACATCTTCCCATGTCAATGAAGAGCTAACTGAGCACTGGCAAAAGGTCCTCCAAGCCCAAAGAGTCACCTCTGCCTGTCACCACCAGTATCACCTGTACAGTGTGTATGCCAAAAGGAGCATAAAAAACTGATGAGATTATCAGTGAAAAATACAATAACTCAAATTATTCTTCAAATGAAAGCAAGAATTGAGCATGGATATTTAACAAATCTGCTGAGGCTTCTCAGCCACTGAGCAAAAAATGTGAGCTGTACTGTATAGGTACCAAAGAGACTGAGAAGCACCGTCAGTTTCCACGGCAGGCGGAGCAGCGGCAGCATGGATGAGAAACAAGCACTGGATGGTGCTCAAGTCAAATTATCCATATTCCAGATTTCAAAAATTAATGAAAAAAGCATAATCAGGGTCTAGGGCCAAATCTTACCAGTGGCATAGATAGGATTTGACAGCACTGGCCTGAGTTAACGGCACTAACATAAGAATATCCTCTTTATTTGCATCAAGCTAACCTTGCCCAATGATTTTGATAGCATGAATTGTCTGAATATGAATGAATGTCATATCATGAATGTTGTCTGAACGAATGAATAAATGAATGCTGAATAGTTACGAATGTTACCAAATGTTGTGAATGCGCATTCATGGCATTTGGTAAGATTGGGCCCAAGTATCATCATAACTTAAGATACACACATTGCACATATATGTACACCTATACCAACACTTGAGGTTCAATGAAAAAAGACTTTGACTTGCCAAGACATGATACAAACAAGACACC